TAATAATTTATAAATTATTATTGTATCTTATATTACACTGTCCAGCGTCTCCCTTCACCCACCCTTCTGCTGCCCGTCCCCCAGAGAGTAGGTTATATGTAGCTCCCTGTGATGCCCTACTCTTTCATAATCCTCCTGTGAATCCGCTTCCAACTGGCTCTGTTGAGAACATGGACCAGGGTTGGGGCCACAGCACAGGGTGGGACCATTATTCTGCACGCGGACCAGAAAATGTCCGGGACCTGAGCGCACCTTTCCTTGTATCAAATGATGATCAATACATTGATCTCCCATTCCGTTGCTTGTGGCGGGAGATGGCTTGCATAAATAACTCCGTCATGAAAAATAACAACCCCCAAAACAGTATGCGATCAATGTGCTTGTAAATCTCTTCAATGTAATACTCCTTACATTAGCACCTGTCACATTTCTATGTCCCACTCTCTAGCACAGTGGTTCTCCACCTTCCCTTCATCCAGTTCCTCATGTGGTGGCGACCCCCCAACCATAAAATCATTTTCATTGCTACTTTATCACGGTCATGTTGCTACTGTTATGAATCAGGCGACCTCCGGGAAAACAAGGGCGGAACGTGGCGAGGGCGCAGCCGAGACCACGTGATCCTGAGGGTCATTGTAACTGGGTAATAATGACAGCTCTCACTGGAGCCAATTAGCAGGTTCCAAAAGTCAGCTAGCAAGAGTTTTAGCCTTACAGATATGGATGCACATAAGCTGAGCTTATGAAAAACATTTTTGTTGCTATAGCTAGTAGAGATTTTTTAATATATAAAAATATTTTAAAATCTATACCTATATGTGGGTGATATATATGTGACTACAGAGATTTTTTATGTATATAAAATATTTTTAAATCTATACACATATGTGGTTCACATATATGTGACTACAGAGATTTTTTTATACATATAAAATATATTTCTGTTGAACTACTGAGCAAAAATTTTAGATAGTCACTTTGCTATCATCCTTTCAGACTGTATCACCCTGGCGACATCCCTGGTGCCCGGCTGCTACTGCAAGTGGCTTCATAGCTCTGAGCCTGTTTCCATCTATAATACCTGTTGAGGTGCTGGTCAAGAATAGCAAGCATCCCACGGACAGGTTTTCTACTCTCTTAACGAGTGACAGTCTGACTCTGTTCTGCCGCCGTCAGTTGGAACGAACTCAATCGCAGCGGGTTTGTTCGGAGTGTGGGAAGAACGACCTCGTTGGTCGTGGAAGTACAGTCGGACCATTCCTTAGGAGCAAGAATGGCTTTGTCTCGCATGCGTGGGGCATGCTATTAGGAGAGATCAGTTCTCGAAGAAGGACAATGCTTGATGGAGGGCAGTGAAAAGAGGAAGCCCCTCAACCAGATGGACTGATGCCAGGGCTGGAGCAAGGGGCTCACACAGCCATGATTGTAAGGATGGCTGCAGGGCGGACAGCGTTTCCCTGGGCCGCATGGGCCGCTGGGCCAGAGCACCAAACAAGGCTCAAGTAAGGCTTACGGGAGGGCCTGACACAAGTCCTTCGCTGCCAAGTGTACCGCAGGTTAGAGGTTACTAGGCCCAGGGTGAAGCCTGGGTACTGAATGTCACTCCCAGGTAAGCCCAGGCACTCCCAGCCTCGCTTGCTGGGGTGGGGGTGGGGTGGGGGTCAATCCTTGGCACAGATCCCATGAGACCCTCTGGGAAGGGAAACTGGACCCTCATTGAACCTGGCGGGCGGCATACCCTGCCCTGCTATTAAAGGAGGGCAAGGAGCACTTGGTCACCAGTCTCCCTGCCAAGCAGCCAACAATCCCCCACAGTGGCCGCACAGTGGGCTGCCCAAGGAAAGGTCAGCAGTTGAGAGGCTCCGAGGGAGAAGAAGATGCAGCAGTCCGCTTCCGTGAGGATTTACAGCCTGGGAAACTGGGAAAACTCTCAAACCCAAACCAAGTTCAATGCAGTCCAGGGACACTGAAGGACAGGATAGAACTGATGGGGATGGGGGTGGGGGTGGGGGTGGGCGTGGGGGGTGTCCGAGTCTGTAACCCTTCACGGGAGTCGAAAGCTCCATCTTTCTTCCGCGAAACGGCTGATGGTGTCGAAGTGCAGACCTTTGGGAATCAGCCCCCCAGGTAACCATTATTCCACCAAGGCTCCTTGGCGAAGTCCACCTGGCCTCCGAGCATCTCGGCGCTGGGAACAGACTCGTTGGCAGTGGGCGGGCACAAGAGCGGCGGGAGAGCGCCCTCTACTGGCTAGAAAGCTGATGCTTTCTTAGCGGCCGGGCGCACGGGTGGCGCCGTACGCTACTGCGCACGCGCATCCGCTCCGGCGTCGAGCGCTTCTCTTAGGGGCGGAGCCAAGGGCGAGAGGGCGTTCCTTTCCCCTCCAGCCTGCCCACCGAAGGTCCCGAACTACATTTCCCAGAATCCATCGAAGCAAGAGACTTCCGGTTTCGTCAGCGGAAGCCGTGACTGGATCTGGCTGAGTTGCCGTGCGGCCGGCTTGGTCACTATGGAGGAGATCGGCATTTTGGTGGAGAAGGCTCAGGTCCGCTGGGGACTTGGGCTTTGGGGGTGGGAGGGGGTCGAGTCCGCGGGCAAGGTGACATCGGGAGCCGGGCGTTAATTGGGGTTCGGCGACATGAGGGAACTTGGGGACGAGTGAAGTTGGAAGGCGCCGTGACATTAACAGCGTATGGGGGGGGGGGAGTCACGTGATCCGAACCTTTGAGGGGTTATTGTCGTCTGTCGAGGACTTGATGTAACCTTTACGTTTTCGTTGTCGGACGGGTTACATTCGGGGCATGTTGTGCGTATCCTTTGGTAGCAAAACATATGCTTATGGGTGTAGTTGATATAGGGGCTCCTTGGGGACTGGGTGGCATCAGGGGCTGGTAGGTTTCAGGGGTCTCTGGAGGAGCTGAATGTCGTTACCAGCCAGTTTGCACCGAGTGACCTGATGGTGCAGTGGGACGGGAATTCTAGAAAAGCTCATGAGCGGCACCTGCTTCTAACCTGAAATGCATCCTTGGCTCTAGGATGAGATTCCAGCACTGTCAGTATCCCGGCCGCAGACTGGCCTGTCCTTCCTTGGCCCCGAGCCTGAAGACCTGGAGGACTTGTACAGCCGCTACAAGGTGCGTTCAACCCCACCCGGGGACCAGCCGCCCTGCTCCACCTCCCGCCATTTCCTGGTTGGACAAGGGCTCAGGCTGCCCCATCTCTCCCACTTCTGCTCACAGAAGCTGCAGCAAGAGCTGGAGTTCTTAGAGGTGCAGGAGGAATACATCAAGGATGAGCAGAAGAACCTGAAGAAGGAATTCCTCCATGCCCAGGAGGAAGTGAAACGGATCCAGAGTATCCCCCTGGTCATTGGACAGTTTCTGGAGGCTGTGGATCAGAATACAGCCATTGTGGGCTCCACCACAGGTGTGTATTGTGGGCTGCTCATTCGCGCTTTCGGTTGAGTCCACGACTATTCTGCTGTCGTGTGGGCAGATCAGCTTGAGTCTTCTAAAACCCACCACGACAGGGCTGACCTAAAAGTAGAAGTATATTTTGTGGTGTATGTGCCCAAAGAGCTACAGTTTCATCGGCGGGTATTTCATCTGACTGCCTGGCTGGAAAGAATCTGTGGGCTAATAAGCAAAAGGCTGCTCACCAAACTTGGAGCCCACCAGCCTCTCCTTGAGAAACAGGTGAGGCTGTCTCCTCCTGCAAAGATCTTCAGCCTCAGAAACCCTACGGAGCAGTTCTCTCTCTGTCCTGTACGGTCACTGTGATTGGAATTGGCTCCACAGCAGTGGGCTTGTACATGGTTTGATGTGTGACACGCTCCGATGTATGCTCTAGGCTGGTCTGGTTTTGTTTTAAACACAATTCTAGGCATGCCCTTCTAAATGGATGCCATCACATGGGCACTGTTGGTAGAGTGTTGACACTGAGCTCTCAAATCAGGTCACTTACTAGTTGTGGGATTTTGCCTTCTCACTAGTGTCATCATTTAAACTGTGACACCCCCCCGCCAAAAAATGGGTCAGCTAGGCTGAGCCCCAGTTCCTAGAAGTATGTGCTTGTTTTTCATTTGCTGTAATTATCCTCCGTTTTCTGGTGTGTGGTAAACTCAAATCTCTGTGGCTAGTGAGGCAGGATTAGGTTTTGTTAAATAAGTGAGGCAGGATTAGGGTGGGCTGTGTTACTCACACTGGAGTCACCACCCTTACTCAGATTGCAGCCCTGACCCAGTGGGGTGTGGCTTGCATCATCTTTTGTCTTAAAGAGATAAAGGGAAAGAGGAAGGAGCTCAGTGGTACCAAGAGGGAAGAGCTGGACTTGGAGCATGTCCTTTGGACTGGGGGCCCCTGTGCTGCCCAGACGCGGGGCAAGACGGGCATTAGGCCTCATGGAGATTTCCAAGGATTTCTGGGCCCACACCTGTGGACAGGAAACTAGGGCCTCTCCCCAAAGCTGGCAGAGCCTTCCCTAGAGTTGGCGCCCTGAATTTGGACTTACAGCCTCCGGGAGTGTCACAGAAAAGGTTTGTTTGTTAAAGGCACGCCCCTAGGATATCCCTATTAGAGCGGCACAAGGTAAGAAGACCTGGGTCTCGCCTCCTGTAGGGCTCTTGTAGGGTTTTCTAGATCATCAAATGAGATTGTATGCATAAAGCACTTGGCCTAGGGCCTGACTCTTGGTAAGGGTTCAGTGTATCGTACTGAAACCACTGTGGCTCCCGAGGGACAACGATGAGCCTTTCTACTCCAGTGAAGAGGTACAGATTGACCCTGTCCTACAGGGTCACTTTGAGTGGATATGGAATCCTGATGGTAGTCTGTCTGGGCTTTTTTTTTTTGGCTGGTTATCAGTGTAGGTCCAGGCCCTGCTCCTACGTTGATGATTGTGGCTGGCGCCCCCTGTCTTTTCCTTCTGGCTTCTGCTCCTCTGGATGAAGCCATGCTCTTGTGATGGTTGTGAGGAAGCAGGTGTAGGTGTGTCTGTAATGGGACTGGTGGGAAGTGAGGAGAGAGGTATCCAGGCTCCTCTCTCAGACCTGTGGGGCTTGGGGGCCCCGTGGGGCTCCCTCTGAGGTGCTACCATGGGCAAAGAGTAGGCTTTGAGGGAGGCAGGATAATGTAGGACACTCAGGTCAGGAGTGAGATGGAGGTTGGTGGGTTAGAGGAGGTGCGACTGGAGGCTGGAAGACCTGGGAGGAGTCTGGTGCAGGGACCTGGACAGGGGGAGGATGAGTCTGAATCAAGGGACGGTGGGGCGGGGGTGAGAATGATTGGAGAAACCTTCAGGAATCCTGTGAACAATAGTCTGTGGATGAGGAGGCGGCTGGGGGCTCTGGCTGTGGGCTGGAAGCACCTCCCTAAGACAGATCCAGGGGACACAGCACAGTGGGGGTGAATGATGCCATCATCACTTTGGGGCACAGAGGTGCCCAGAGGACCTCCAGGGAGACGTGTTCCCCGAAGTGGCTGGACATCCGGGCTCGAGTCAGGGCTGTAGGGGTGCTCTGAGAGGTGGCCTAGTGGAAACAGGTCTGGAAGCCACGAGAGCCTCGGGTCTGAAGTCGGTCAAGGTCGTCCTGAGGTTGGCCACGAGGTGGGGGAGGAGGGAGTGGCCCTGAGGGCAGGGGACCCCTCATTTCCCTACTCCTTGCCTGTCCCCTTTCCAAAGGCTCCAACTACTACGTGCGCATCCTGAGCACCATCGACCGAGAGCTGCTCAAGCCCAACGCCTCGGTGGCCCTCCACAAGCACAGTAATGCCCTGGTGGACGTGCTGCCGCCCGAGGCCGACAGCAGCATCATGATGCTCACCTCAGGTAAGCGGGGGGCCTGGGGCTGGGGAGGCGCCTGGGGAGGACCCCGCGGGCTAGACCTAGAACCCCCGGCCCTGCTCTTCTCCCACCAGACCAGAAGCCAGACGTGATGTACGCTGACATCGGGGGCATGGACATCCAGAAACAGGAGGTGCGGGAAGCCGTAGAGCTCCCTCTCACCCACTTTGAGCTGTACAAGCAGGTGAGGCCTGGCGGGAGAGGGGAGCAAGAGGTCCTCCCAGCTCTGGGACGGGTGGCAGGACCCTCCCAAACCCACCCTTCTTCCTCGCAGATCGGCATCGACCCTCCTCGCGGCGTCCTCATGTACGGCCCACCCGGCTGCGGGAAGACCATGCTGGCAAAGGCTGTGGCGCATCACACGACAGGTATATCTCACAGGCCTGGCCGGGACTCTGTGCCCTCACTCCCAGCTCCCTCCTCACCAGGAAGTGTCGTGGCACCCCAAGAACCGAGGGTCTTGGTTCAAACCGCTTAACTGGTTCTCTAACCGTGAGCAGGGGGCTTCACCTCCCTGTGCCTCAGCCGTCTCCTCGAATGAGAGGCGCTCACGTCGCAGGGTAATTGTGGGGAAGAATGAAGTAACGCTGTGTCTTTTCATCTCTGGGGGGTTGTGGCCCTGTGGCAACTGGGCGTTTAGATTTGCAGCCAGCGTGCAAAAAGAACTTGCGTAGAAAGAGTCCCTAAGTACAAAGCCCACCCTAAGACAGTGTTATTTTGCAGACGAATGCCATGCGCACACGTCGTTGGGCTGGTGGTTATTTAGAAACGCATTCCTTGTTGTAGGTTCCAGACAAAGGTGGCCGAGAGCCATCTGTGAGTTCAGTGGTAGCGTGGGGCTCGGTGTGTCTCAAGGCCATACTCGCTGTGAACCCGGGAGGGTCGACCAGAAGGCGGTGTGTTTTCTGGCCCAGCCTGCCAGAGTTGAGCACCTGGCTCCCCGCCAAGTCCTTCCGTGGTTTGGGCTCAGTCCTGTAGCCTCTGGAGCGCAGTTCCTTCTGCCACGCAGGGGAAAGCATCGTGTGTTCTGGGCTGTGGAAAGGGTTCAGTTGGTGTGAAGCCTCTGGAGCCAGGCCGGGCGTGTAGTCCGTGGGTGACCAGGGTTAGCCATGGTCATTGTCCCTTTGCGAGGTGATTGTTGACCTCTGACTCTACACCAGGCCCTATGCCAGGAGCAGGCTGGGAAGAGAGACTAGTTCGTAGAACTCGTTCGTTCAGTAACTGTTCATTGAGCGCCTGTTGTGTGCCAGGGCATACTCTTTCCAGATGCTGAGACACAACTGCGGCAGAACTGGCTCCGGCTTCAGGGCGGGTAGAAGGTACTGGGGGCTGCTGCTTTATGAGTGAGGAGCCCTGGTGGCGTAGTGGGCTGTTTATTTAGCTACTAACCCCAAGGTGGGTTGAACCCCCGGCAATTGCTCCACAGGAGAAAAGAGGAGGCCACCTGGCTCCATCAAGTCTTGGAAACACCAGGGGTCAGTTCTCCTCGGTCCTATAGAGTCACTGTGATGTAGAGTCAGCTCGATGGGAGTGTTTGTTTTATCGCTTGATTAACACTACACTTTGAGATCTAACTTATCCTGGGACCAGTGAGGTCCAGTAGCAATGTACTGCAAGGCAGAAATACGAATCAGGCCTGCCATTTTCATCCAGCCCCACCCCTCCAGACACAAGTGGAATTCATTTTAGTAATCTGTTTTATTTGATCGCTATCTCCCAAATCTTCCATTTTGACCTGGAATCAGTGAAGCATTACCGAGGCAAGCCCGACTCCTGGTGGCCCCGTGTGGGGTGGAAATGGGCTCTGTGGGGCTCTCAAAGCTCTGCTGTCTCAGAAGCAGATTGTCAGAACTTTGTTTTGAGGCACCCAGGGGAGAACGTTGAGACTGTCTGCTTGCGTAAAGATGTACAGTCTCGGAAACTCAACGGAGAGATTCTACCCGATGCTGGAAAGTCGTGATGCGCAGAATCGATGTGAGGGCAGTGGTTTAGTTCACAGACATTTAACAAGCGTGCATTGAGTGCCTGCTTTGTGTCCGGTGTTGTTTGGGGTACTGAGTGGTGATGGCAAATAAACGCCCTTTGGGGCGCTTGGGGTGAACCCAGATGTAATCAATGAGGCAGCACAGTGCTGTCAAGAAAAGCCACACACAGGAACCCACTGCCACGGTTGATCCATTTTCTAGCGGATCTGTAGGCCAGGAGAGGGCCGCTCCGTGGGGTTGCTGAGACTGAATCTTCTCCGAAGCAGACAGCCTCCTCTTCCTCCAGCAGAGCAGTTGGTGGGTGTGAACTGCGTGCTCTGAGCTTAGCAGCCCAACACCAAACCAGTGGGCCCCTCCTTCACGTAGAGCAGCGGTTCTCCACCTGTGGGTCGCGACCCCTTTGGGGGTCGAGCAACCCTTTCACAGGGGTCGCCCGATTCATCACAGCAGCAAAATGACAATGATGAAGTAGCGACGAAAATAATTTTATGGTTGGGGGTCCCCACCACGTGAGGAACCGTATGGAAGGCTCGCGGTGTGAGGAAGGTGGAGAACCGCTGACTTGTCTGAAGAGGCCAGGGCGCCATAAGGACCTTCCAGGCACTGGGGTTCTGGACAGGGGCACATGCCAACTCATGCCAGCACCAAGGCAGTGCACCCCGAGCAGAAGTCAGAAGTCATAGGGTTGGGGAGCAGGGAGCAGGGAGGCCTGGAGGGCAGGTACGTTGTTATGATGGTGCCGCGGACTTGATGCCGACTTCTAGTGATCCAGCGCGACCCAGTCAGACAAAGGAGAACTGCCCCGTAGGGTTTTCTAGGCTTGATCTGTGTGGTGTGTTGTATCTCCCTTCTCGTGGAGTGGGTAGTTTGGGGGTGTGCGCTGTGCGGCACAAAACCCTATCAAGTCACGAAGAACCCAGTTAGACTTTAAGAAACAAGTTAAAAAGGAAGTCTCAGAACAGACTTGTCTTTCACCCCATGACCGCGTCCTCTCGTGTCCCAGTTGGCCCGTGGCCCCTGGCTCAGTCATGAGAGCCCAAGGGGGTCCACAGAGCACCTGGAAACGTGGAACTCTCGGGGAGATGAACTAACTGGTGCCTTTGTTTTATGAGCCGTGTGTCTTTTCTCCTTGACTTTTCTAGAGGAAATCCAGATTTTTAATTTTTTTTAGTGTACTCAATCTTTAAATGTAGGGTCAAAACACAACACACGTATGACTAGGATTCATGATTTGGGCTGAGCTGTGCACGAGGTGTGATTGCTGTGGCTAACCCCCTTTGCCGTCTGCCGCCAGCTGCGTTTATCCGCGTTGTTGGCTCCGAGTTTGTGCAGAAGTACCTGGGAGAGGGCCCCCGCATGGTCCGAGATGTGTTCCGCCTGGCCAAGGAGAACGCGCCTGCCATCATCTTCATAGACGAGATCGATGCCATCGCCACCAAGAGATTCGACGCCCAGACGGGCGGTGAGTGATGCCCACCCAGAGATGAGGGTCTTGGGCCCGCTTTTTCAGTAGAGTCTGGGCCCCGGACTGATTGTGTTGGACTCTCTGCAGCTGACAGGGAGGTGCAGAGAATCCTGCTAGAACTGCTAAATCAAATGGATGGATTCGACCAGAACGTCAACGTCAAGGTACGGAGCTCATGGCAGGAAGGGAGGGGGCTGGAATTTGAGGTGGTGGCTGTGTCACGCTGGGAAGGAGGGTGCCGTGGGAGTGGAGGTCTGTCTGAGTCAGCCTCCCCCACTGCCAGGTGATCATGGCAACGAACAGAGCAGACACCCTGGATCCCGCCTTGCTGCGGCCGGGACGCCTGGACCGGAAAATTGAATTTCCTCTCCCTGATCGCCGCCAGAAGCGACTGATTTTCTCCACCATCACCAGCAAGATGAATCTGTCGGAGGAGGTTGACCTGGAAGATTGTATCCTGTGAGGGAAGGGGCCAGCGTGCAGAATAGGGTTCAGATCTGGCTTCCTGGAGAGCTTTGTCTCCACCACATGTAGGTGGAACAAGCATGGTCTAAGGGTGATTGGGGGTAGGGGTGGGGCTGGGGGTGGGGACGCAGGCAGCCCTGGCTGACTTCCGCTCCAGGCTTTCATCTGGGGCGGTTTCCTTAACTCACCCACTTCAGATGTGGCCCGGCCAGATAAGATCTCTGGAGCCGATATCAACTCCATCTGTCAGGAGGTGAGTGGTGGTTTTTCGCCGGCTCCCTGGCGGGGGCGCCCCTCCTCTCCACGACCTCTCAGACACAGCCTTGCCTTTCCTTCATGGGCCCCTCGGAGTCTTGGGCCCTGGATGTGTCTTCTTCCCGCATCACAGGAAGTGGAGGGACTAGACTTTAACTTCCGTTCCTCCACAGAGTGGAATGTTGGCCGTGCGAGAGAACCGCTACATCGTTCTGGCCAAGGACTTTGAGAAAGCCTACAAGACCGTCATCAAGAAGGACGAACAGGAGCATGAGTTTTACAAGTGACCCCTCCCCGTGTTCCCCCTGATCTCCCCAGGGACCTGTGTTTTCTCTGTTCAAGGTGTAGTCAGTAAATAAACTCGATCGAATCCCGTTTCACTTCTTAGAGGCGTCACTCCCTCGGAGACCCTGGGCCTTGACTCGGACCCTCTGTGTTCCTCCTCATCTCCTGACATGAGTGAGTTGAGAGACCGGCCCGAGCTTGCGAGGGAGGCAATGAATCAGAGCCAATTGACTTCAGAAATTTGGAGAAAGGGCTGTAAGACGAATCTCAAATACAAGCCCTTGCCTACAAAAGAAAGCCCCCGTGCACCCCTGCCCTAATTTCTTAGGACCAGAAGACCAACTGAAGTGTCCATGATTTCACCCTCCTCGGGCTGAAGGAATGTCAGGGACAGGGAGTCTCCCAGAGCGTGTGCAGTGCCGCGAGTCTGTGACTGCAGTTGGCTGTGTGTCAGTGCTATTGTGCTGAGCTGGCTGTGGAGTGCGCAGTGTTCACCAGTGTGTGCTTGTCATCTCAGGTGTGTGTGTGTGTGTGTGTGTGTGTGTGTAGCTGAAATTTCTGGCTAAGAGTGCGCTGTGTTCACCAGTGTGTGCTTGTCATCTCAGGCGTGTGTGTATGTGTGTGTGTGTGTGTAGCTGAAATTTCTGGCTAAGAGTGTGCTGTGTTCACCAGTGTGTGCTTGTCATCTCAGGCGTGTGTTTGTGTGTGTGTAGCTGAAATTTCTGGCTAAGAGTGCGCTGTGTTCACCAGTGTGTGCTTGTCATCTCAGGCGTGTGTGTGTGGCTGAAATTTCTGGCTAAAAGCTAATTCCCCCCATAAAGGTACCTCCTGAGTCACATGTTGGCTTCTATCAAGGACCTTCTCAGTACTTGCTGATGACCCAAGGCATTCCCTTCGGTGTATCTTTTGCAAAAAGTTGGACACCTGGCTGCAGCTTCGTCACAGCGCCAGTGGGGCTCTTCCAGCATGTCTGACTGAGCTTGTGGTACGCACCAGCCATCTCCGTCTAGTGCACTTAATCCACAGTTCAGTGTGGCTTGTGAGGTGCCGTGTCATCTGGCCCCACTCACCTCTTGCCCTATTTCTAGGTCTTGGCCCTGCCAGTCTCATCTACCTGCACATCCCCGAAAGTGCATGCTCACTTCCAGGCCGTTACACATGCTTTTCCCGATGTGCACACTGTCCGTTCCTCCTTACTGGACTCATGCCCACTCCTTGAGGTCTCATTTGGACACATCTCCCTCCAGGCAGCCTTCTCTGACCCCCAGAGTGAGGAGGCTCTCCTCTGTTCCCCTGGCACTGTGTGCATACTGTCTTGGTAGTTACCAGTTACCGAGTTCCCTTGTGGTGACCTCATGCCGGATAAAGTCAGATAAGATTGCTCCATAGAGGGCGATGGCCGACTTGGGGGGAAGTAGATTACCAAGCCCATCTGAAGTGCCTCTAACCCAGCAGTTCGCAACCTGTGGGCCACGACCCCTTTGGAGGTCAAATGACCCTTTCACAGGGGCCACCCGATTGATAACAGTAGCAAAATTACAGCTAGGAAGTAGCAACGAAAATAATTTTGATGAACCGTCTGAAAGAGTCGCGGCATTAGGAAGGTTGAGAACCACTGCACTAACTTTTCAATTCATCAGCTGAGCTCATGAGCCATTTGTACCACATGGCTTCTGGCACTCACTACAGCCTGTTCTTACTAGACTGGAATCTGCTCTAGAAGCATCAGGGATTACACCTTGATCATACATAGTTCAAGCCCCAGCCTTTACCACAGTGTCTGCACACAGTAGACATAAAATTAATGTCTCCTGAACAAACATGAATGTTCTAAAGAAAGACGGAAGAAAGTATGAGGAGAGAGAGTGGATGAAAGGAAACATTTTCTACAAAGAGAAAGGAGGCTTCTGGTTCCCCAGAGAAGTGAACTTTTCCTCCCACCTGCCACCTCCCTAAAATGAGAATAAGATAGGCGAGTAAGGTATACCCCTCAAAGACCAAGGGGGAGAAATGAGAAGGCAGCCACAAAACGTGTGAAGTTAAGAAACAGATTCCTGTTCACTAATGTAGCCGGCCTATATACGAGTAGTGAAGGAATCTCAGAAACAGCAATTCCCTTTTAGAAAGGGTTAGGAATCAGCCATACTGGGTTCCACTGAAGGTGCAGGCTAGACAGGCTATATTAAAAAATCCGTGTTCATACATATGAAGGTGTGTAGAGTAGAACCTTGTATGTAGGAAATATGCAGCCGCTATGATCGAAGCCCCTACACCCTTCTCTAGCGTGGAGCACAATTGCAGGTTTACTCTGGAAAGGCCAGACCAGAGAAAAGGTAAAGAAGGAAAACGATTGAAGTGACCGACATACCCTAAGCATGAGTGAGGAGGCAGACTGGGTACCAAGAACAAAGACGTGCCCAGAAATGAGCAGAACTCCAAGGGCAGACATCTGAGAGGTGCAAACAGACACAGAGTGGAGATAGAATTCAGTCAGGGAGGGGAAGTAAAGAAAGGCTTCATTGAGGCAGGCAAAGAACTCCCTGGCGATTCCACGACCCAGCGAGCCAGGTCAAGGAAGCTGCATCCGGCAGTTAGGCAGTGGGGTATATATAGGGTTCAAGCCAAGCATGTACGTGCCAATAAGGGGAAGGGAGGCTTTGAATGCTGCAGCTGCAGGACTTGAGTCGGGGTGGTCTGTGAGTAAATCATCTTGCTTTCTGCAGACTTGCTTTCTGGAATGCTGGGGGAAGGGGCTGAGTGGACCCTGCCCGGGGAGCTAAGCTCCTTGGGATGCTGGAAGCAGGGGCTACACAGTCCAGCAGGTCATCTGTCTTTCTGAGAGGCTGCCTGGTCCAGACCAGGCCCAAACATTCCAGACTCTTAGTGGTAATGGTGCTTCCTGCTGAGATGGGGCGACGAGAGGAGGGGTTAAGAGTCAGAAGGTTCAGGCCCTGTTCTGTTGGCAGTGGACTGTAGGGGTGAAGTAAGAGCTGGTTGACTGTCAGGCTGGAGATATCTCTCATTTGTTCCTGCAAAAATTTAAACACACAGGGAGCTAAAAGTAATAGCCTATCGATTATTATCAGGGGCCCGACTCGGGGTATGATCCAGACCATGACAGGAGTCTGAAACCACGAGGAAATGCTGGTGGTACTCCCCTGACGTTTTTTATTTCATCGGCCATGGTGCGGGGTACTTGTAACGTTTTGTTCAACTATACCTGATTCATGAATATAGTGACAACATTCTTATTTAAGGACATGCGTGTTCCTCCCTTAACTGCTGTTAGTAAGTCAAGGGCTTGGCGATTCTGTGGGGTGACTTGTGCTAAGGGTGTTAACTGCCTTTGGAGGGAGAGGAGAGAGAAGTGGAACCCATAGCAAATTGTATTTTGTCATTAAAGGTCTGAGCTTGAATAATAGTTTGCCCTATTGCTCCTCCCAACCTGCCGGCTGCAGCTAAGGAGGAAGCAAACAGTCCTACTAGTACTGGCAAGAATATTGCTCGCTCGATTCGAGGGTTAGAATCAGTGTGTAGTTCCCACAGGCACTGGAATTCAGCCTCTGTCCGTACATCGTAAGTTATGGGACTGCAGTGACTGGGAGGCAAGGGGAGTGGTGGGAGGCACTGAGGCACTTTGGTGAGGGTTCTATTGCACCAGAAGTAGGCTCCTAGGGGGGCTTTGGGTGAGCCTGTCACCTTTTTGGTGCAGTTGCAGCTGGGTAGGTTTTGGGTCTGTGCTGTGGATGGTAAATAGCTGACGTTAACGTTGCCTTCTGGGACAAATAATGGTGTACAGTGAACCCTCGTTTATCGCGGTTAATCGGTTCTAGACCCTACTGTGATAAATGAAATTCCGCGAAGTAGGATTCCTTATATCCAAAAGTTTTACCTTTTCTTGGATGGTGAGCATCTTCCTCTGGCACTTATTTTTATTGTCAGAAGGCTTAGAAGAAGCAGCTTGTTTAGGAGCCATCATAGGGCTTAGATAAAATTTCTTAAAAATTGCAAACAATTACAGTACACTGTACAAAAGCAAAAATGCATCTGATACGTAGCTCCGATACGTAGCAATGCAGACAGAAGCGTGTACAGTATGAGCCAATCAGTGGCAGTCATGACAGAGCATGCGCTGTTACGCAAAAACCGCTATAGAGTGAAGCTGCGGAAGTTGAAGCGCGAAGTGGCGAGGGTTCACTGTATTAGGAATGGGAACAGGACAAGTGTTGCTAATATTACCAGAAGTGGGGGAGTTTATTGGAACAGCTGCCAACCCTGGACGCTGGAGGGAAGCGCCGAGAAAACAGATGAGTTTTCTATCCCAGAAGCATTTAATAAGGCTGCTCCCGGATCAGGTTTACCTGCTTGAAAGGGTGAGGGTTGTTGTTTTTGTTATTTGGGTTAATAGGTTAAGTTCGTTGTTCTATATTTCTTCAGCGACTTCATCTAGCTTCTTGGGTGGGTGAGAAATCTGGATCAATTGTCTGTGGATTTTTAGGGTGGCTATGGGTTTTTTGGCCCAGCGGTAGTAATACAGACCTCCCTCAACACCCTTTTCCCACCTTGGGTCCCAAGGATCTGAGATAAAGAGTTTATACTTTCCTCGCTTATCGGCGGTGAAGGTATTTGAACTGAAGAGGTCTATGTGGTATTTGCACGACCAGTAAGGACACCCCTTGTACTGGTCAGGCCACTGTTTACAGGAGTCTTCGACCTGGTCATAAAGAAAGCAGAGAGTTAGAGGGTCTGTTTCATTTGTAAAGTCATACACGACTGTACTTGCTACCACGGAGGAAAGATCAGTCCAGTTAAATGGGATGCAGACTGCTCCTTGACGTCCACCCTGGCCGCAGTGTGCCTTGCTGACCACACAGGTTTTGCCTTGTTAGGTTTCTTGGACAACAAACTGCCACACATAAGACCGTGAATTTGGTAGGGTTGGCGATGGGCATGGGAAAGGCAATGTTCCTCGTTTATACCAGAAGGCACAGGTGGTATCAGCTATGAAAAACAAAAGCCACCTTAGCAGGCCCCACAACTTGGGTTGAATGCCATGCACGATTTGTGCTGGGGGCTGGCTTTACTCTGGTGAGGTGATGCCAGTTAGGGTCACCAAGGATTTTGACTGCGCTGGGAGTAGTGAGGACCATGGTGTATGGTCCCGTCCACTTAGGCTACAAAGGCTGACGATGAAGTTCTTTCAGCAGTATAGTCTCCCGGGCTGATCACTGGCAAGTCGGGTCGTGTAGGGTCAGGGGCGGGCAGACACGGGCCTGCGTGCTCCTGGAGCAGTTTCCTTAAAAGAGAAAGAAAGGGTAAGTAGTTTGCCAGGGGTGGTGTTTGGATTGGTAGGTTGTGGTTGATAAGGAAGGGCCTGTAATTCAAAGGGGCTTAAAAAGGAAGGGGAGCGAGGGGTGGCCTGATTTCGAGTTAAGGTGAGGGGGAGTAGGTCCACCCACAAGCAGTGAAGTTCTAGGGACGGTTTAGATAGATGTGGTTTTTTTTTAAATCATTTTATTGGGGGCTCATACAACTCTTATCACAGTCCATACGTATACATCAATTGTATAAAGCACATTTGTACATCCGTTACCCTCATCACTCTCAAAACATTTGTTCTTCACGTAAGCCCCTGGCATCAGCTCCTTATTTTTACCTCCTCCCTCTCTGCTCCCCCCATCTCATGAACCCTTGATAATTTATAAATTATTATTTTGTCATTTTTTATACTGTCCAACGTCTCCCTTCACCCACTTTTCTGTTGTCCATCCCCCAGGGAACAGGTTATATGTAGATCCCTGTCATCAGTTCCCCCTTTCCACCCCACCCTCCCTCCACCCTCCCGGTAACACCATTCACACCACTGATCCTGAGGGGATTATCTATCCTGGATTCCCTGTTTCCAGTTCATACATGTACCAGTGTACATCCTCTGGTCTAGCCAGATTTGTCAGGTAGAATTGGGATCATGATAGTGGGTGGGGAGGAAGCATTTAGGAACTAGAGGAAAGTTGTATGGTTCATCGTTGCTACTCTGAACCCTGACTGGCTCGTCTCCTCCCCGAGACCCTTCTGTAAGGGGATTATACAGATGATTTTTTATAATTCCATTCATTTTCTCAACTTTTCCAGAGGATTGAGGCCTGTATGGCATGTGTAAGCGCCACTCAATGTTTAGGGCAAGTGAAACTTGTTGTGTGATCTGGGAAATGAAGCAGGGACCGTTATCAGCTTGGATGGAGTTAGGGAGGCCAAACTTGGGAATGATTTGGGTCAGTAAGACGTCTGTGACTGTACCTGCTGCCTCTCGTTGGGTGGGGAAGGCTTTGATCCATCCTGGAAAGGTATCGACTAATGTGAGGAGGAATCTAAAACGTTTGTGATTAGGCATATGAGTGAAGTCAATTTGCCAGTCTTGGCCGGGCAGATAGCCACGTAGTTGGTGTGTGGAGACTTTGGGTCTAAGGGCTCCCTGAGTATTGATGGTTTTGCATACGGAACAGGGGGAACGAACCTTTTGGATGAGCTGGGTTCGTTTAGGATGGTAAAATATCGGTTGTAGGAACTGGGAAAGGGCACGAGGCCCTGTGTGTAAAGAGGAATGCATTTGGTGCATGAGGCTCTCGGCTTGTTGTGTGGGTAATGCTATTTGGCTGTGCAGAACTCTCCACCCTTCAGGGGTTTTCTGTCCCCCCTTCTGAGTCAGGGGGGCTTCTTCCTGGCGTGTAAGAGGGTTGCCCCTCGGGGATGGTAAAACAGAGAACTGGAGCTGGGTTAGCAGGGTTGGTCGTGAGGTTCCTGGCAGTAGTGTCTGCTTTGTCGTTGCCCCGTGTGACAAGAGAGTTGTCTGTCTGGTGTCCTCTGCAATGGATAATAGCTGCTTTTGTCAGTCGTTGGACAGCCTGTAAGAAATTAGCTATCAATTTACTGTTTATGATGGGGGACTCTATGGTTATAAGAAATCCCCGTTCTTTCCACATTTATTATGATGTTACCTATTGGTCACATTGTGAAGAGTTTTAAAATGCTCTTTACACTGTGTGATAATCCATACTGAGGGCTGCAGTCCTCGGTCTTCCTCCGCGTTTCCAGTCCTTCCTCGCTTTCCGCAAGCAAGCAGGTTGGGTCCTTGACACATCACAGGCTGTGAAATGAACCTTCGTGCAATCCTGATGCTGCGCTCTTCGAGCAGCCCCGCTTCTCAGATAGTTTGCTCAGCATGCAGGTTGAATAAGGATTGTGAAGGAATGCATCCCTAACACCCCTTTCCTGATGTTAAACCACACCAACATCCCCTCGTGTTATACTCTAGTGCTTGTGGGAAGGAGTGACTGCATAAATCAGTCCTGTTGCCCAAACTCCACAATATTAGGTTCTAAGGACACAGAAGCTCTTATTTGGTCCTGACTTGAGGAAAGCTGACATTGGACTAGGGTCTCTGACAGATCTGATCTCAGAAAAATGGCCAGGAGAGAATGTTCTCTAGTGTTCTGGAGACATTGTATATTTTCCCTGACCACTTATCCAACTCGAATTTACAGATAATCTTTGATAAGATCTAGGCCTTGGAGATGGAGGCCATGTTTTCCTTCTCTGGCTGCTCACATGATTCCTACCAGACTTTTAAACAATCATTTGATTGACATATACTTCACATCGCGTACAATTGTTTGAGCGCATTAAGGAGAGCCGTGCCATCCTCACATCAGTTTCAGAGCATTTTCTTCTCCACACTCATTGTTGGCTCCCCATTCCCCCCACGAACCTCCCCCGCCACGCCCCTCAGCAATTATTGATCTGTATAGACGTGCCTATCCTGGATTTCAAATGCAGAAAACCACACGAGACACAGACAGGAAGCATATTGCATTTTAGGCGCACTTGGGACTTGCCGCTTTACAGCCGTGCCGGTCATTTTCTTGATAGAAATGCTCTCTCTATATACATCGATATAGGCGTCATCGGTTTTGCCTCTAAGAACCTTCACTTCAGTCACACACCACCTCACACCCAAAGAACTACCACACATGCAAGACCACTAACGACTCACAGCCAGAGAGGTCCCAACGGTCCCACAACCCTTAAAGCAGGGGTTCTCAACCTGTAGGTCACGGCCCCTCTGGGCGTCCAACGACCCTTTCACAGGGGTCACCTAAGACCATCGGAAAACAGCTCCTCTATCCAGGTGGGTCCACCCACATGCACAGATACAGCCACCTACAAGTACCCGGCATGAAGACTGTTACCCATGCTGCACCAGGCTTCTAGGCAAAATTTCATTGATTTGTCATTAGAAATACATATTTCACAATATAGAATTACATATTGTTTTGTCATTGAAGGAGGGGGAAAAATGAGCTGATGCCAGGGGATTAGGTGGAGAGCAAATGTTTTGAGAATGATGAGGGCAACGAATGTACAAATGTGCTTTACACAATTGATGTATGTATGGATTGTGATAAGAGTTGTATGGGAAAAAAAAGTTGTATGAGCCCCTAATAAAACGATTACAAAAAGGAAGACATATTTCACAATCTAGAATTACATATTGTTTTTGTGATTGATTTGTCATTAGAAATACATATTTCACAGTCTATAATTACATATTGTTTTTGTGATTCACCACGATGCTTGAATAATGTTCAATTTGTAGCAATGAAAATACATCCTGCCTATCAGGATTTTTTTTGCATATCAGATATTTACATGACGCTTTATAACTAGCAAAATGACAGTGATGAAGTAGCAAGGAACATAATTTGATGGTTGGGGGTCACCATCACTGGAGGAACTGTATGAAAGGGTGGCGGCATGAGGAAGGTTGAGAAGCACAGCCTTAAATTCTCTGTCTCTTTCTCACACACGCACACGCATGCACACGCATGCACGCGCACACAAGGGCAGACACAGAGTCCCAGGCTGAGACCCAGACCAAACTCCGCTTCGTGGTGCTATGCCGCACGCGCTCATGCTCGGTGCCCCAGTTTCCCGCGCGGGACGCGAGGGCGCCCCCTGGAGCAGCCTGGACCACGCGCGCCTGCGCAGTGGGAGCCCCCGCGAGCCGGCTGGCTGGCCGGGACTACAGTTCCCAGCAGGCCCCGCGTGGCGTTAGCCTCGACCCCGCCAGGGGTCCTTCCGGTGTGTTGTCGGCGTTGCGACCCAGCCGGGCCAGAAGTAAGTTGGCGCTGGGTGGAAAGGGGGTTTCGGGGGGCCTGGGGCTGCCTCCCAACGGGAGTCACCCCGGGCCGCGAACCGGCCGTGTCCTCGCACTCCGGCCCGTGTGTTTGTGAGGAGCACCAGGGGGCGTCGTGGGACGCTGAGGGGCAGGTGCGTGGGCGCGCGTGCGCGTGACCGTGCCCCTGACAGCATCAGGGGGAAGTTGGGCGGGCGCGTCACCTGCTCCAATTGCCCTCCAACCCTGGGTGCCCACCAGAGCTGGTCCCAGAGAGAAGCCCCGTCCCGAGCCCTGGGACGGAGGTTGCCATGGGGAACTGCAGTGGGTGGGACTACACGGGAGGTGGGAGGCCAGGGCCGATGTGGCCTGGAGGACATTGTTGCAGTCAGTGTTGGCCACTGGGGCGCCCCATGGGGCTCCCCTGCCGTCGAGCTCCGTGTGGAGGAGGGGGAAGTTGTTAAAAGTCCAGATCCCCGTGAGTTTGTGTTTCCAGTCGTGTTTACGAAGTGCAGCGTGGGTTTCAGTACAGGGAGGTCTGTGGAGTTTTTCCTGAGAAGCCGCGTGACAGGTACTTGGCAGATGGACCTCCCTATGCAAGCCCCCCCCAAGGGCCTCATTTTCCCAAGTCACTCCTTTATAGACCGGGAGAGAAGTACGTATCCTGGGGCGTAAAGTTTTATTGCTTTGGGATCCGGGTTTAGATGGAATTGATCTTTGATCTTTACCCAAGGCAAGATCAGAAAGGGGTTGACTTGTGTCAGCCAGAAGTGGCAGAAGGGTTGTACAAGTGGGAATGGTACTTTATTTTAATAATATGGCCTAACTTTGACGAAATAATTAGATGTTAGTAAGTAGTGTATGTGTATCAACTCAAGCTTTATGAAAACCCAGTGGAATAGGGGCTGTTCTTACCCCAAGTTTACAAACTAAATCGTTTCTAGGGTGCCAAAGCACATTACCACCAACTGGTATACATTAGGTTAAGCCTTTGGCAGCTAACCAGAAGGTCAGGTCAGCAGTTCAAACCCAGCAGCTGCCTCTCAGTAGAAAGATGAGACTGTCTGCAGTCGTGGAAATCTTAATGGGCACAATGGGTCCAAATCAACTCGATGGCAGTGGGGTTGGTTTTTAAAAACAACAGAAATGTTTTCTCTCATAGTACTGGAGGCTGGAAGTTTGAACTCCGGGTGTCCACAGAGCCATATTTCCTTCAAACCAGTGGTTCTCAACCTTCCTAAATGCCATGACCCTTTCATACAGTTCCTCGTGTTGTGGTGACCCCCCCCAACCATAAAAGTATTTTTGTTGCCACTTCAAAACTGTCATTTGCTACTGTTATGAACCGTCATGTAAATATCTGATCGGCAGGATGTATTTTCAGTGTTACAAATGGAACATCATTAAAGCATTGTGATGAAGCACAAAACAGTATGTCATTCTATATTGTGAAGTATTTATTTCTAATGACAAATCAATGAAATTTTGTCTTGAAGCATGGTGTAGCATGGGTAACAGCCTTAGTATAACAACAGTTAACTACATTGCTACATTTTGCTACAATATCCGTAAAAAGTCAACATCAGTGGGAAGGTTGAGATAGCTTCTTTCTCACTAGATCAGCATATCTCTGCATGTGGGCACACCCACCTGGAGACAATAGAGGAGCCTTGTCTCTGTTCCTAAGACCACGGGAAATATGTGTTTTCCGGTGGCCTTAGGCAACCCCTGTGAAAGGGTTGTTGGATCTCCCCAAAGGGGTCATGACCCACAGGTTGAGAACCGCTGACCTAGATGAAGGCTCAAGGGAAAGGTCCTTGTCTGGTCCAACTTTCTATCACCCTAGGCACCTGTTGGCTGGTGGTAGCTACTGCCTCAGTCTACGCAGCACTTCACATGCTGTCTCTGTTTCTTCTTATTCGAACAGTAGTCATATTAGATTTCTCCTCCCACCTCCCTCCAGGATGGCCTCACGGTAAAAGCTAAAACCAAATCTGCTGCCATGCAGTCAATTCCAGCTCAGAGCAACTTTAAGATTTTTGAGGCTGTAAATCTTTACAGGAGCTGACAGCCTCATCTTTCTCACTCGGAGTGGCTGGTGGATTCAAACCACCAATCTTCTGGTTAGTAATGCTTACCCCACTGAGCCACCAGAGTGCCTTATGGAAACAACTAATTATCAAACAAAGGCGCTATTTCCAAATAAGGTTTTCGTTATATTTACAGATCCTGGAGACAAGAGCTTATTACTAAGATCATTGGAAAAGTTAGTAGCTGTCAGACTGAGATGAACATTTTGAATGCTTGACAACAATATAACCCCTCTCATTATGTTACATACTTTAAGTTACTGGTTTTAATCAGTAATGCTCATGAATACCCTTCTCCAACAGGCATACCGTAGTATGCCACCAGAACTGACCGTAGCTTGTTTAGCCCATTGCCTACTGTAACTGTTTCTAATATTTTCACTCAAAATTCCATTATAACAAAGCTTTTGTAGCTACTTCCTAAGGGAAATAAATCCTAGAAATGGAATTATAGTCAAGTAGCAGACAATAAATATACTGGATCTTCTGGTAGTAACTGGGAGTGATACGAGAACTAAACCCACACAATTGTTGCCCTTAAATTTCTTGTGATCCAGCAAAGAGAATAAGATCCAAATAGACTGACTACAGTAAGGTGAAGGTCATACAAGCCTCGAGAGGTTCAGGTCGCTTATCTTGGAAGCTCATAGGAAGGAGACATCATTGTTTCTTTAGCCATCTCTGTTGGGTTTCGACCAAATTATTCTGAACTCGGGAACTCTGAGGAGAAATGGATTTCCACCTGTATGTGTTATACCAGAGCCCTGGTGCTGGTGCAATTTAAGGTTAAATGCTTCGCTGCTAACGGCAAGGTTGGCAGTTCAAACCCACCAGCTGTTCCTCAGGAGAAAGATGTGGCTTCTGACAGGTTGGAAACCCTCTGGCGTAGTCCTACTCTGCCCTGGAAGGGTCGCGAAGAGCCAGAATCACATCCGGGGCCGTGTAGTTACTTAGGCTTCATACAAACGCTGTCAACAGAACTTGCTGCAACGCTGGGTGTGTTCTCCAAAGTGAGCACTTCGGATGTGACTAACGCACTGAGGAACCGACTTCTTAATTTCAACTTAAAATAGCTCTGTAGGGTGAGTGGCCATTATACTGGACTGCCTAATTTCAAAGGCGATGGCTTGTATTCTAATGACGTTAGTTCAGAGAGGCTAGTGGGACCATGTCGCCAGCAGCAGCTGGAGGACAGACAGCAGGACTGAGGAGACGGCTTGAGAGCAAAATGAAGTGTCAGGAATATGTGAAGAAAGTCTCATTCACACCACCATCAATGCAAACAAGATATTGCGATACATTTAGATCTATGTGGACATGCATTCAAAACAAGGTGTTTGGAGCTAAAGGGAAGGTGTTAGTCTGGGTAGACTAGAGAAATTCATAGACACTCATGTGTATAGGAAAGTGTGGGACACAGAAAGATTTCTCCCAAGTTGTCTCCCTCAAATATGTGCCAAACCCAGCTGCTTGCTACACATGGAAAATGATTATATGCTTGGAGGTCAACGAAAGCAGGTCAGAGGTTACGCTCCCTGAGGGTAGTCAGCCATCTAGAGCAATCAGACTGTATAGTCTGTCCCACCCTAAGTAGGGCCCACTCCCTTCTGATAAGGATAGTAGTAGATTGTTTCCCTGAAGGAGAGCCCAGGGAGGTCAAGCCCACTCAAGGGGGACCAAGGTTAGGCTTCCATATTGAATCTGGGGTCTGCCCATCTTGTCACATGTTTACCCCTAATCCCTCCTCTTCTATAGCATGTACACCCCTAGATCGTCCCCCTCCCATTGCTGTATTACCTATAGTCCAACCCCTTCCTGTGATGTATATCTTTACCTGTAATCAGGGGGCTTGCATGCCCCCAAAAGATATATAAGCCTTGGTTAGAAATAAATCATTCTCTCTCCTGCCCTCTTGTCTCCCACCTCCACGTGGACCATCAAGAGGAGCTGAGGTGAGCATGCTACCATGAAATGCCCTGCCTCCTTTATTTTACTCTCTCTTTTATGTCTCTTATTCTCTATGACTTTACTATAACCTTTATATATCTTAACTGTACACTTGCGCTTACCGAACCCATGATCGTGTGAGGGGCTGGTTTCCCCCACAAGAACGAGCTTTATATAAAGAGTAATTGTACAATAAGAAAACATCCCAACCCAGTCAAGATCACATCCATAAATCTGATACTAGCCCATATATCCAGTACCAGTCTGTACATTGCTCTTCAGACTCACGCAACACATGCAATAACACCAAGTGCAGGAAGATCACAGGCCAGTGGGTGCAAAGTCGAGTGGATCCAGTGGCAGTGGAAGCGTTTCAGCACTGGCATGGGTCTCCACGTGGCTCCTCCAGCTCCAAGGCTCTGGCTGCCATTAGCATAACTCCATGTGGCTTGTCAATAGCAATGTCATGCAGGGAGTGAGTGTGTCCTGCCTACAGTGAGCTATTTATCTCCTTAGCACCTCCAAATGAGGTCATCAATCTATGACCTGATTGACAGGCTAACTCCACCCATTCACTCTCTTAATAGTCTCAAGTTGACAACCATATGTAACTACCACAGGGGGAAAAACGTACTCAGTAACATTAAAAGCGCAGTTTTTCATTTACCTTGAGCTTCTTCCTCTAAATCCAAGAGAAGGCTTTAACAAAAAAAGACCTTCTATTTTCAAAATAGATGAAAGGTCAGTGATTTGAACCCACCAGCGACTCGCAGGAAGGAAACTGTGACTGCCTGTTTCTGTCAAGATTATACCATTGGAAACCCTGTGGGGCAGTTCTGCTCTGTCTTATAGGGTCCTGGTCAGTCACAACTGACTCAACAGTATAGGGTATGTTTTA